TTATATTTCTCAGCTCGTTGGAGCTTTCCGAGCTTCTTTCCAAGAGCTCGTCGGAGCTTTTTTCCTCTCAGAATTCACGTCGTCGAAACGAAATCGAAATCCGGACACTGCTTATTTGCATGGAATAAAATTGAAATCAAAATCGATTCCAAGAACAGATTTCTCTTGACATAAATCACACCACTTACACTTCAGCAACTTCACCAACTACACCAGGATCAGTATCAACTAGGCCTTTCACTCCCTCCAGTACCTCAACTGACACATTAGAGGCAAATCTCTCTTCTTCTGTCAAACTGGCAAGGAAAGTTAGTGCTTGGTTCTTCAATCTCTCCCTCTCTCTTCCATAGGCAGTTTCTCTGATTGTTATCTCATCATCTTTCAGTCTCTGCAATAGAGCCTCATCAGAATCAGTCCAAGAAGCTGATGGAGGGATGGGATCATTTTTCACCTTAATCCACATATCCAATAGCTTGTCTTTCTTTGCAGGAATTTTCTTTTGCTGCTTCCACTGACACAAAACCTTCAGAGTAGACACTGGGAGGGTCTTTGCATCTTCATCCTTCTGAACATCTATTCCCTTTGAAGCAAAATTCTGAATGAAACGAAGAGCTTTACTGTTCAAAACTTGAGCTGCTTTCGCAATCTTCTTCTTTGTTTCCAATTGTTTGATTTCATCTAAACGCCGGGTTCTTTTCTTTGCAATAAAGTAATCTTTCGTGTTCAGTGTTTCACCGCCTGTTGCGATAAAGTGCTGGCTTGAATATTTAACMMCTGCAATTGCATCCTGACGGGCTCTAGTATTGGGTTCAGTCACTGGCTCCGCCAACCGCTGGCTCTTTTGGGGGGCGTACTATTTCCTGAACACTTCACCATTGAAACCACCGTCATTCAAAACTTTAATTGCTGCGGTGTTTCTCTTTTTGTGTGAAATCAGTGCAGCTGTCTTTGGATCYGTGGTCAAATCAATCGATCCGTCTKGCAACACGATCAGCTCATGTTGAACTTTTTTGTCCTCAAGGCATTTCCGGGTGAACGGAGAAATCCCTATGGTTCTCCACACCTCTTTGCATCTTTCAACGGAGAAGGCTTCGTCAAAAGCAAAATCCAAAACAACGTTCTCATTCCAGCCATCACGCTTACCAAAGACTAACAACGGATAATCAGATTGCCGAAGATTATCATTTGTCTTGCGTCGGTAGTGAGCAAGTTTTTCAAGATTCTTTTGGTAGAGAGTTTTGAAAAAACCATAATTGCAATCTGTTGGCTGCGTGACATGAGTCGTATTGGGCACGCCAGGGTGGAGGAGAAAACCGCGGGCTGCAAGGCTTGCCAATAATGTTTCGTTGTTTTGTCCGGGCCCACTGTCGACAATCAACAAAACTCTTTTGCCAGGCAGATCTGCTGCATCGGCATAAAGTTTAAGAATCACATCCGATACGTATTTTTCAAATTCATCGACATCCATTCCGGCGTTCATATTGCAATTCACCGTTGCTCCATTGCTAGTCATAGAATTACCACCGTATATATCGTTAGTGTTAGGAACACCGTTCACGAAAACTTCATGAATTCGCTTTTTCTCGTCTTCTGTGGCAGTTGATTTCAGTTGGAAGTGTGGCAGTAAAGGATATCCTGCAGCATTACTCCCGGCAACCAAAGTGATTCGGGAACTGCTTTTGTTTGTCCTCTCAGCACCGCATCCAATCGCTTCATCAGTTGATCCGTATGCTGTAGACGGCAGTCCACCAGCTTGGTGAGAGCCATTCCMATCAAGTGTAAGACCAGACTCATCCAGATTAATTATTCTGTTCAGTTGACCACTGAAGAACACAATTTCACCTTCACAGATTTCATCATCACGCTTAAGTCTTGCAAAACCTTTTGCAACAAGTTCCTTTTTCAGTTTACTAAACCATGTGTTTATATTGTTATAAGTAGTCCACTTCAGACGTCGTTCCTCAATTTTGTTACCATTTTTGGTAACCTTCAAGTGCCCAGCAAAGGTAGGCAGCAGACGTTGATAAACGTTTACGTAATCATTCAACAAGCATGAACCAGGAACCAAACAGTTCTTCAACATCGCAATGAAACCTTGGCAACAAGGAATCTTTTCCTTCTCCTCGCAAGCAAGAGCAACAAAAGAAGATATCGCATTTCCCAGCGCTTCTATAATCGACTGCGGAAGCAAACTTTTACGTCCCCTCCCAGGGGGACCGAGGTCATCTTTCAAGTGTCTTCGCACTGTGTTGGGCTTTAGCGAGGTATTGTACAGCAAATTAACCTGAGATACAATACTCACAACGGAGGACTGGCTGTTTGGTGGCAAATTTTCTTGCTCGTACCTCACCTTCTTCGCAATGGCACCGTATGCGTCGTCATGGGCCCTTTTCTTTAAGTACTTGTTCACCGTTTTGATATGAGCTTGCTTAGGAGTATCAGGACTCTCTTTTAGAAGGACTGGTGCAAGGGCTCCCTTCTTCAGACTGGTGCTTTCATCTTTGCTCTTCACTGCTGTGGCTGTTGGTGCTGCTGACTTGGTGAGGACTGCTATTTTAGCTTCCAACTCCTCTAACTTCATACCTGATATCTTCGCTAGCTCTTCCAAGTTGATTAACGCCACTTCCTTGGAGGAGGTCAAAGCTGATGGTTCTTTCTTTGAGGACATTGAACACTCAAGAAAAGTAGGGGGGGCCTTAACCATCCTTTCCATGCACCTCTGCACTCGTCGTTGCAAGGCTTTGTTGTTTGCCTCCTCTTCACTGAACTGAGCAAATATCATGGATCTTTTAACAGAACACTGCAGACCCCTGGACTTTGAACCATGCAAGTTCTCAGCAGCAAGGGTTGTTCTTTCACAAGCGGAGACCGCGCATCCTGATTTCACTGATCCAACTGCAACTGTGTCCTTTACTGCTGCTGGCTTTGACCTTGTTGTTGATGTTGCTTTTCCTCCTCCGCCCCCCTCCTCTTTATTCGTGCAAATTGCCAACCCCACTGCCACTGCTCCTGCTCCTGATTCAGCACGCGTTTCCACACATCCCTTGGTAATGGACCAGATTGCTATTGGGAGTACAGCACTAGCTCTGGGGGGCGCTGGCATGCTTGTTTTCATCTTGTTGTTGCTGTTATTGCTCATTTCAGGGCCGAAATACACTCAAAATACAGGGAAAATGCTTTTTCTTTCAAAATACTTGGTCGATTGCAACAATACTTCGGGATCAAGTCTCCTTTGATGTATTAAGGACGTCCGACACATTGGTTGTCTTTGTTATGGGGGGAAGACAGTTTCTTTTTTGTTACACTATAGAGTTCGTCGTTGCTGTTGTCACGATGATTTTTCGCTGTAGCTTGGATGTACTGTTGCTTCTAAACCACTCAGTCAATCGCAACGATACTTCACAATCTGCTTCCCCTTATTGTTAGGATTACAACGCTTGTCTTGTGAGCGCGATTGGTTGGGTATTGATGAAGATCTGGAGGAGTGACAGCTTGCCTTGTTGAGGTTGATTTAATGAAAATATTTTTTATTTTTCGTGCACTCAGAAATCAACAAGCCCAAAAAGGTTCTCTGACAGGAAACATATACAATATGGACATGTATCAAAAGAGGAGGGAAAACCCTTTCCGACTCATGGATTCTCTAATTCTGATTGGGGCTTTCTGCTGAGTCAACAAGCAAGAAAAGTTAGCAAAAAATTGGCGCGTTTTATGTACTCATAACCTGTTAGGAATCGATAGTCTTATTTCGCACTCATACTGGTACCTCATATTGTGTTGATCAAGGGGCCTTTACCTCATTTATGAGGCTGGAAGAATGGTGGGAGTGTATGGTTGAAGCTGATGGTGGCTTGCTGTTGCAAGAAGTTCTTTTGTTGCAAGGTTCCTCCTCTAGTACTAGCACATGACAAAATATGAAGACACCAGGAGGAGAGGGGATTGACAACAAGAGGAAGCAAAGGAAACAAAAATCAGTTGTCATGCTGGGTAGTAGTACTAGGCATCATGAAAATGTGAATGGGAGACTGAAGATCTTGTTCAATGTTTTGAATGCTTCCTTTCATCCTCACAGTGAATGTACTAGAGATAGTAGGGATGCAATGATTGAGATGCACGATGGAATGTGTTTTGGAGCTGTTGACTGCTGTCAGTATTACTCACCAACTGAAATTGGAACACAGAAGGGGGATGCATGACATTCATTAGTACAATGTGGTATTACTAGTTATAGAAATTATACCACTGCAATAATTAGTATCGTGGCACCACCAGCTTAGTAGTAGTAGTACTACTACTACTGGTGACAGTGTGGGTATTTGATAGCTTTGATTTAATTCAACAAAAACCTGTGCTGGCATCATTGTAGTACAAATTGGATCAAACTCTTCATTTAATTTGATTAAGTCATTCTGCTTGACAGAGTTGCAAGTTGGTGTTGCAACCAATGGAACTAGTAGTAGTCACAAGTCTTTGAGATCATCATCATCATCACTCATCTCTTCAAAAGTGACAGAAACAGGAGCGCCACCAAAACCCAGCAGAGGCAATGATGGTTGCTGAGGAGCATTTTATGCACATTAGCATTCCATATGTTAGCAGGCAAGGCCTCCTCCTTCATCCTCTTTGCTTTTTAGCTACTACCATCATTGAAACCAGACAAAATAATTCATTTTGGATGCTTGTGAGCTCCCAAATGATGAAGAATGGAATTAGTAGGATTCACGCAGTGGTATACTAACATTCTGGCATTGAGAATTTGAATTCCAACCTTTGGAATGTTATGTTAATTTTCAGAATCTCACCTGTAACAAAAGTTCAACTGTTATTTTTGTATCAGTGATATTTTTGGTTACTTCTACTAAGGAACTTCCATTACTACCTTTACTACTTGCCAACTCTTACCAGTGCTTGTTGCTTAAGAATTTTGATTAGTAAAGTAGAAGTACTTAATATTACTGCTGTGGAACTTTCATCAGTGATTCCTAGTACTAGGGAAGTTATATTATTATAATTAGTTATTACTGCTACTAGTTGGTAAGGAACTTCATCTGTGACTGCTCAACGGCATTTAATGGGAAAATAACAAGCCTCAATCAAACTGGTGTTGCATGATTCCATTGTCCTATTTCATTCACATGTTTCTTACTTCAAACTATTTAGTTTTTCGAAGGAAGACCGTACCATAGCAAATCACTCGCTGGAAAGCCGGATTCGACGAGTTTGAGATTTTCTTTTGGTCCGTTCAGGAGGACCGAAACAACGCCCTTTTCTCTTCTGCAGCCTACAAAGGTGTCAAGAGCGGCAGCCGTATCGGCGAGAATTTTTCCGTCCGCGGCCGTTCCCCCGGAAGAAATCGGTCCTACCAACAGGACGTCTCCATCGGGCATGGCTCTGGCCTTCCCGGCGACTTGGTTTGCCAGTTCGGAGCCGACCGGCTTGCCTTTTGATTGCAACAACAGTAACTGAACCTCCCCCGGCGTGACACCCGCTCCTCGCTCCGCCTTCCGAGTTTTCGTGAGATCCACCACGTCCTGCAACAGGCTCCCGCTCGATTCCTGGTTCTCGCCCTCGAAGATATATACCACACGGGCGTTGGTAAACAAACGGGTGGCATCGTTTTCCCGAATCGGCTTTGGCATACTGCTGGATGTGATGAAGGTATGGGCAATGGGCGTTACCTTGATGGTTCCCGGAGCGATAACGTCCGTGGTTGCCGCCGATGCCACAGGGGCTCGTCCTGTCAGTAGTAGGGACGACATCGCTCCGGCTCCGACACCGCTGGCAGCACCGGATATGATATTGGATAAAAAGATTCGCCTCTCAAAAACGGTGGTATCGCTCGGCAATAAATCCCCAGGTGATTTCATGGGACTGACGGCTCGGAGATGACGGGTTTGGTGTGGATTCGAGTGTTGATGTTGATGGCGCAAGTTTTGCCGTGCTGGGTATTGAAACGAGTAACATCTTTCGTTCGCCGAGTAAAAGATGATGAGCCACGCGAGAATGGAGCGTCTCAAGAAGAGACACGATAATAATCTTCTCATTTTAGGTTTGGAATAAGGCGTTGAATGGTTGAATAAATCAGTGCCGTGTAGTATGATGTGTGCAGGGATCGGTTGGGCCCCTAACAGCTCGCTTAGTATTACTACATCATCATACTTCGAACCTGATGTAAACGGTTACAGTACACAGTAATAACAGTACCGGTTGTTTGCAGAGATGCTTTCAAGATACGGTACGATCTTCGGGCCATCCAATGGATTTCGCGCGGGGGGGTCTGCGGTACGGTGCGATACCGCAAAACAGAGAAAATGCAAGCGTGGCTGTTTGTGAATTGTGAACACAGCGTAATTTGTGTTGACGGAGGAAAAATGTGGCATTCTTGGTAGATACAGTAGTGTTTGTTGCTTATCGTGTGTGTGACCTGGCTTCTGCTGTATCCGTTGGGAAGGAAAAGATGTTTCTGGAAGGTGCTACGTCGAGTCGTATCATTGTAGAAAATTCATGAAGTAAAAATGGTACTAGAGGAAAAGAGCAGGTTTTTGCCTGGAAAAGGAATAGCCCATGCCTAAACCTACAATATGGCCAATGTCCAGTTGGGTCTCTAGTTAATGATTGAGCACTCCAATCGAAATGTTTTTTGTAATCAACACCTCCTTGGAGAGAGAATTACTTCTGGACAAGAAACGTGAGAGCGGACAAATTGACCATAGTCTCTTTGCCATCCCGCAAAGAGACTTCTATGTCACTTAGTCGTAGTTGCTCGTTGACGATACTGTTGCTCGGGGCTGAAAATCAACGATACTGTTGCTCGGGGCTGATAATCAAAGCGGACGGGAAGCAGTTTTGATTGATACCACGACAAAGAATATAAAATTTCCTGTAGCCCTCATACATTCTATCGTCCGAGTTCAGAATACTTCTTGCTACCGCCAAATAGAACCGTGATCATTCGTGTTCAATTGTATCCGGAACAACTACGGTTCACACGGTTGCTCTCACTCTCGCTCTTGGAATCTGCCCGTTTCGTTCTAGGGGCGCAAAGTCGCATCAACTGCGGCCCCGCCGTCTCCTTTGTCCACCGGGAACGGCCTCTCCCCGGAACAGGGCCTCCGCCAGGCGCTGTTCTTCGTCCAGCTGGTGTTCTTCCGCGCTCATTTCCAGCTGTTCCTTTTTGGAAGCCGACAGGGCTTCGGCCAGAAGAACCACCTCCACACTCGGAACGACGCGGTTCTTGCGAAAAGCTTTGAAATCCGGAAGATTTTCACGTGTGGGCCGCCGATGGTGGTAGTAGCGATGATTGTTGTTTGTCCCGGTTAAGTTTCTTGCTCTATTCACGGCAGTAACACCCGGGTTCGCAGCTGGGACGCTCAAGAGTTCGATATCGGTGGAAGCCGACCGTTCCAACCCGGCACCCGTCTTTATTCGATAGGCTTCCGACGCCCGCTTTTTCCACCTTGACCGTTCGTGATCGTCCCTCGGAGCCGGTCTGAACCACCCGTTTGCATCCGCCCCTCCCAGTTGCGTTGGACTGCTTTCGCTGGCGGTGTCTGCGGTGATGGTTTTCGTAGCTTCCGCCAAAGGTGGCTGCATCGCTTGTTCCATCCGACGCTTCTTTTGCGATTGGGATGATGACCTTTCTGGGGTGGTTTCCTCGTTGATCCCGTTGCTGTTGAGATCGAACCCAGACTCCTCGTGGCGGTCGGGGTACAAGGAACTTAGGTCTCCCGCCGTGGAAGATTCTTCCCAGGCGCGCTTTTGGGAGCCTCTATGGTGTGTCTGGGATTCAAGTTCTCGTCTTCGGGTTTCAGTCGTGTCGCAGGTGAGAGAAGGACGGCTGCTCGTTTCTTTCAAAGAAGGACGAGATGCCTTCTCGTGGTTTCCAACCGGTGGTTGGAGCCCCACTATCGAAGACTCTTGTTTCGAAATGGTCTTGGCCAGCATTTTGGCAGTGACCGTTGGTATTCCAAGATCCTCGCGGAGTGTTTTAACAAGGAGTACAGTGTTTGCGTTCGAGAGCTTGCTCTTGGACATCGGTGCCAAGAGCACCACCGCCCGATTCCCTTTCAGCAATCCCTCGGCGTGCTCCAGAAAGGCTGCCACACTTGCCTTTGTATGCTTTTGTCGCTTCTGTTCGTCGTAAATGATCTCTAGTTTGGCACCCGAGGCCTCGACGAGCGCTTCTGCCTCTGGGCATGGATCGGTGCTGAGTACCACGTATCCGGACAAGAGGCCCTGGGACGGTTTCGATTCCCAAAAGGAGCTGGTGTCCGTGGCAACAGGCGGAAAGTCGCCCGGAACTGGAAAGGGGTCTTTCAGGCTGGCGTGGGATCCTAAGGCCATGACGAATTCGGGTGAGACAATTGGAATCTCATAGCACCACGCGATGAGCTGCTTGGCCACCGCTGCGCGGCTGTTGGTAATGAGATGGGTCGTGTTGCCCGTTGTTGTGGTTGTTTGCTCGTGGGAATGCCTGCGAGGGAGCGTTCCGGTCTCCTGGACCAGGCCCCCACAGAGGCGAAACGAATCCTTGATCGAAGCCTGAATGCCACTCGAAAAGACCGCGGTCATGGGGATGTGCGTGACTTGGATGGTGGGGAGCTGGGCGATTCCAAATTGGACCAGCACCGAGCGATCCCTGCGGTGGGCCTTGTCGTCATGTGGTCGGTTGCTATTGATTTTGCTCTTGGTTGCCACGGCCTCGCTGCCATCGAAGGACAGTACCTKGGACTCACCGGGATCGAGCTTTGTCAGCTTAATCGGCGTCCCGCTTCCAAAATGGTGTTGGATCGCGGCCGAGAGCGACGGCAGGCCCTGTGGGGACGATGGATTTGTGGAATGCAGCATCGTGTTTCTGCTGGCAAGGATTTCCCCCGTTTGCGTGGCCACCGATGTGGCCAACCCATAGTGGCTCGCTTGCTGCTGCGAGTTCTGGTACGTTCCGATGCCCCCGTCCTCACCGTCCGTGGTAGCGTCCGAATCGTGGCCGTCGCCCCCTGCGTTGTCCCCGTTATCGTTTTGGTTTTCGTTGTCCAGATCAATAGAAGTGTCCTCGGAGGCAACGTAACTCCCCGACTTCCCCTTGTTTTCGAGGACGAGGCACATTTTGAAGGGACTGTTTCTGCAGGCCACTGCCTCGTGTTCGTTCCGGGGCTCCACGCACCACCCGGAATTTTCGCCCCCTTGCTCGACGGTTTCGTTGTTGTCGTTGACCGACGCCGTGGAGTCTGTCCTTCTCCTGCTCCTCCGAGGGGATGTCCTTGACTTACCGGCCCCTGTGTTCGGTTTCTGGTTTGTAGGCAGCCCGACGAGCCGCAGGACAGCGTGTTCGCGGCTGATCGAACGGTCTGTCCCAAACAAAACGTCCACGTCGCCCTTGCGTCCGATTTTCACCACGAGGCCGCCATTGCTTACAACATCGCTGTTGTTCTTACCATTACTTCCTCCATCAATATTTCCCCCTTTGAGACGGTTGGCCACAGTGGAGGGGGAACAGTAGAGGGTTTGAGAGGGACGTGTGCTGCCATCGCTGCTGCCATTGCCTCCCTTGGCCGATGGGGGGAAGACGTCGATGCGAAAGAGCATTGATCCATACACAATGTGAGATCACGGTGCAAATACACACACGGCGCTCTATCTTCTATTGATTTCTAGCGATCTGGTGCGGAGACGGATGGCTAAACTTGTTTGTCCTTCTCCAGTCCAGAAAGGGAAAGTGGCAATGATAAGCGTAATCGTAGTTGTGATGATCTCTCAAAAAGTCGGATCGGTGATAACAAGTTCGATGAGGTTTCGAGATTTTTTGGTCCTTCACGGATTCCCGAAGACGGAAGAGGTCGAACGAGTCAATCTAAAAATAGATGAAGAGTAGAATGGGTCGAACTAGTCAACGATTTCGTTTGTCGTCTGTATTCGTACGAAATTACTCTACTTCTATTGCGCGAAACAAGAGAACATCGTGTCACCAACAAAAATCCAAAATCCTCGTCGCTGTGGCTATCGCTGTGGCAAACCTCGAGTGAACCATCTGTGCGACACACGGCATACTGGTGATCGGCCAAAGCGTTTTTCAAGAAATCACAACGGATTCCACCCCCCCCCCCCCATCCAAAGATAGCATTTCCAAGTGCATCAAGATCGTTCGAATGCTGTCGAAGAAAAATTACCAAGGCGTCCCAAAAACTTCAGAATATCAAAGAAGCAGTCCACGATCATTTTTTCCGCGAAAAGGCAATCCATCGTAATACTAGAGAATGGCGACGAGCAATAACATCGGAGACGACGACGATGATCCTTTTGCGTGTTTCGATTCCTCCGACGATGAGGACGAGGATAGGCGCCAAGAAATCGTTGGTAAATTGCAAGATCACACTCTAGATATTTCCCGCGATCCGGGAAACGGCGTCCTTGCCTTCCACGCAGGAACAGAGGTTGCCCTCCTCCATTACGTCAAGACAGAACTTGACGCCACCGGGAAGAGCAATACGATGGTTCGCGACGAAGAGAACACCAACACCGAAAGAGCCCCCGAATCGGCAATCTCCGAGCAAGCAAGGACCATCCTGGGGCTGGTTGACTCGTATTGCCTGTCGAGGCACTGGATGATGCACGTGGGGCCCGAAAAAGCGGGCCCCCTCCGAGACTTTATCTCAAAGTGCCTGGGGAGCCGCAAGCGGAAGAACTCAAACGACCACGGATCGGATGCCGTGGTAGTCGTAGAGCTCGGAACGTACTGCGGCTATTCGTCAATTTTCATCGCCAAAACGATACTCGAATACCACCGCGATTCGATGGCAGCCGAAGCAAATACCGGAGTGAACCAACAGGAAGACAGCGACAGGGACGACCCGTTGTTTCACATTTACTCTGTCGAGGTGGTCGAAGGATTTGCGAGAGTGGCCAGGGAGCTTATACAGCTGGCCGGAATGGAAGCCTACATTACCGTAATTTTGGCTCAGCACCCGGACGATGCCATCCCCGGGAAGATAGGAGGCCCCAAGACAAACGCCGGGGAAGCACCGCCGTCGCTTTCCTCCGAACTGATGCAGAGATTACCGCGTGGTTCGGAACACGACGGGGAGTCAACAGTGACCACTACCAAACCCATAGACTTCTTGTTCGTGGACCACGACAAGTCTCTGTACCTGCCGCACCTGAGGGAGCTCGAGAACACGGGGTTTATAAGGGAGGGAACCTTCGTCGCAGCCGACAACGTCGTGTTTGCCCAGATTGACGACTATCGAGACTACATGTCTCGGCTTGCCGAGCAAGGAATCGTAGAAACCCGATTAGAGGACTCCCTCATGGTTGAATACTGCGAGCCAGAACTGCGGTCTCCGGATGAATCGTTGGAACACAACAAAGGGGAAACAACCACAACGAAGGAAATGCTGCAAGATGGGATTGAATTTTCTATATACCTGACAGATCCAGCAAGATTACCAGATTCCTAAAAACTACCTCGGAGATGACCGGATATCAATCGGCGGGCGAAAAGCAGGAGTTTTGATTCCCAGAGATCTAATAAAGAGCCAAAAATACCGAAATTGAGCCATTTTTATTTCGATGCCTTGTTGGCCTTTTTCTTGGTCCTCTTCCATCTTCGAAAGGTTTCTAGATCGTACTTTGCTTTTGCTTCTTTCGAGCTGATTTGGAGCTCGTCGTCGGTAAAGGCCCTGGCCAGCGTGCTGCCGTCTTCCCACAGCATCTCGATGACACTCTCCCGGAGCTCGTTTGGGATCCGGGACGAACTCGGAGGCGATATTGCCATCCACAGGGCGATGGCATCCTCCGCCACCTTTTTCAGCTGGGGCCAGACCATCTCTGCTCGGGGAAGAAGCAGCTGCTGGATTGCGCTGGCGTCGTCCGGTTCAATCCACGTAAAATCACCGGAGGTCCGTACCAGCTCCATGTGTCGAGCCAGGGCGTCGAGCCTCTGCTGTGCAATCGTTGCAATGCGTTCGGACTCTTCCCTCAAAACATCGAGGCTGGCAATGTCATCGGGTGTTCCTCCCAAAGATCCGTCGATGCAACCGTTGGTCTTGCGCAGGGTTGACCGGATTTCCTTTCTCAGATTTTCGAGAAGGAATCGTATCTGGTTTGGAGATGTGCCGGTGTCGCCGTCCGAAGGAGTTAGATTGTCCCACATCCACTCGCGAATGATTGCTCGTTGACTTGGCTCGTTCCAAAAGCAGTGCTGCAGCAGAAGAAAATCTACGGTATCCACTTTTTTCCTCCCGTCCGATGCAGCACTAATTTTCAAGAGCCGGGCAGCTTTTACAAGACGCCTGTCGCTGATTTCTATGCCGTGATTTTCCAACAAAAAAGATCTCATGTCCCGCATTAATTCGCAGGCATCGTCGTCCATAACTATTGAATCCGCGGCTGATGACAACGAATCGATAATGCCATCTAAATCACTAACGAGCGGGATGTCACAGCCTTCGTCACTATTTGTTGTGCACGAAGATTCTCCAGGATTGGACATGGACAAGAGTTCCAAAACACCTTGGTCGGATACCCTCATCACTTCCTTCCGAATGAGAAATCGGTCGTACAATGCAACAAGCTCTTCGCTGTCAGGCAGTTCATTCGAAGCTCCCACGACGCATCTCATAGGGCACGATTCTCTACTTCCGCCGTTGTCAAACTTGCGTTCGTTCAAAATTGTCAACAATGTGTTTAAGATTGCACTGTTTGCTTTGAAAATTTCGTCAAGGAAGGCTATATCAGCTGTAGGTAGAAACCCAGATGTCACTCTGCGATACTCGTCATTCTCAAGAGACTTCAGAGACAAGGGTCCAAATAATTCTTCCGGAGTTGTGAAACGAGTGAGAAGCCGTTGGAAGAAAGTTCCTTCACACAGCTTTGCAAGCCGAAGACCCAAGATTGACTTCCCTGCAAACATTTCGAAAGAAGTGCGGTATGCAAGATCAGAATAAGTTGTCTGTAATTATTTTCAACAATTTCAGACGGTTTACAGCTTCAAAATACGTCGAATTTACCTGTCCCAGGCTTTCCCAAAAGAAGGATATGTTCGTTTGCGATCATTGCCAACACCACGAGACGTGCATCTTCTCCTCTTTCCACCAATCCATCTTCCACTCTAGCGACAGCAGCATTGAGGTGTGTGTGTGCCTCCCAACATTCATCACTGGCTGCCCTCTCTTCGGCGAGCTTTTCTTCAGTCCAAAGCTTTCTTACAACTGTATCAGCGGCTTCTTTTTGCAGAATTGAAAATTCCTCGTCGACACTGTCTATAGAGAGACATTAATTTTAGAGATTTCTTCTTACTACAACAAACGATTGCATACGGCAAAGACTGACTTAGTAGTCTCAACATCATTCTTACCTTCACCCAATCCCAAAACTTGATCATCGTCATCCATACCTTTCATTTTTCCCTCAATCATTCCGCCGAAACTAGGATTCCTTCCTTCAGTCGTTTTCATCCACGAACCCTCGTAATCTTCCTCATCTTCATCCTGCACATCCCATTTTCGTTTGCCTTTTTTTTGACTTTTGCGTTTACGACCATAACTATAGTCGTCGTCGTCGTCGTCATAATATGACCTCTTAGCATACAGCTGCGTTGTACTCATCTGCCCTTGTTGCCGAAGGACATTATGAGTTGAAGAATGGACATTAAGTCCAGCATTTGTAAACGCAGATGGAATACTATACTTCGATAGGAAATCGTGAGTGTGGGTGCATACGCGTGACAGTGGTTTGCTCTCGGACTTGCCGATCAACAACCCGTGTAACTCAATACCCTTCAACGTTTTCAATCTATCAATAGATTCCATGACCTCAAGTGGGACCGGGGGATCCGGAATTTCTCCATCGGTGACTAATAAAATGTCTGCTGCTTCCATGCAGAAATTTTCTGTACGAGTACCGTTGTTTGACAGTTCATTATCATCGCTTTCTAGAGCTTCGATTGCAAATTTCAAGGCTCCGGTCACGTCAGTACCACCGCCGAAAGAATGGGAAAGAAATGCTAACAAACGTTTGATGCCTTCAGAGTTTGCTGTGATTACCCCAGTTTCCATCACTTTTCGCTCTGTCGAGAATGAAACGACCTGGCATTCGCGTCCCTGTCTGCGTGCCTCTATGACGCAGGCCAAAACAACAGCCTTCGATAAAGACTCTCTGTTTCCCGACATTGACCAACTAGTGTCTAGGCACACGATGATTGGTCCACCAGGTGCTGAGGGTAGGCGATTCAGATAGAGTGGGTTTTCCCTCGGCATACTTGGGATATCGGCCCAGCCGGAAAGTTCGTAACTTTGAAGTTTGGATTCGGCCATTTTGGCCAGAAACAATCTTCGAAGTACCTTAGAAGATGACGTCCCTTTCTCGTCGATGTCAACGCGAGAACGGAGAAGTACTGCTTCGGAAGGAAGCATCTCAGAGGGATTCCCCGATAGCGCGATGCCCGACACCGACTCCCGACGCAAACAAGGATCGAATTCGGCCCCAAGACCACCCTCTGGATGCGGTTTTCGAGGAGCAAATTTTTCAAACCGGCGACGATTGCTGCCGTCCTCTTCTGCACTGGGTCGACGTCCCAACTTTTGCACGAGATCATTCAATTCTGGAATATCCGAAATTTGTTGCTGCAAATCAGGGATCAACTGCCAACCCGTGTGAGACCAAATCCCGTCACGCATTCCAAAACCCATGGCAGCACCGGCGGCACCTCCGTCATCATCTCCATCGCCGTCGTCTTCTTCACCTGATGAAAGTAAATCATGATCAAATCCAAAGATGTCATCCATGAGACTCACACCCTTTACTACCTCACTCCATTCTTCAACAAGACTTTCTGCAACATCTCGGGCTATGTCGTCGTCATTCAGAAGAGAATCTAGAGGGAAAAGAAACTCCTCTTCATCTCTAGCACTGCTTTCAGTGTCCCTTTCCCAATCGTATGAATAGTTCTCGTCCTCGTCTTCCTTTTCTTCATCGCCGCTGTCGATCGCGTCGATTTTCTTGTCTATCCTCCGACGGGCATAATCAAACGTCTTTCGCAAAATTGACCGAAGGATCATCGGTATAGTTTCTGGATGGCGCAGCGCTAGGCGAGAAAGCTGCAGAGAATTCGCAGCATCTAGCAAACAGGAAAAGAGCGGCGCTGGAGGCCAAAATCGCACGGAAGAGGTGGGATTGGCAAAGTCTGATTCAGTCGGCAACCGTCCCTTGGCTAGGGTCTGCCGCCAAACAAACATTCCCCGAGAAGATTCTAAAATTCCGGATTTGACACTGCGAAGGGATTCCATGAACAGGTCATCACTTTCATCCTCTAAACTTTCCCGTTCGTCCTCAAAAATTCTTGCCACCAATGGATCAATCGAAATATCGAGGTATGAACCGGTGCTTCTCATTTCTAATGAACTTATTTTCGTTGTCGTTGTCGTTGTCGTTGTCGTTGTCGTTGTCGTTGTCGTTGTCGTTGTCGTTGTCGCATATTCCAAATGAAACCGGTATGGTTTTTCAGAAGGATGTTTTCCATGAGATACAGCATTTTTTTGAACGAATGCATGAGTCGTACAATCCAGCAGCAAGAATTGTTCACCAGAGCGATGAAAGAATGTCGTGAGGACAAATGCTACTGTTACCAGTCTGATGATACCGGCCTGTCCTTGAATTTGACATTGGTCCCCCCGCGACGGAGAAGCCCTTCTCCTTGTCGTCGTCATTATTGTCTGATGTGATGCACGAGAAATTCGTTCGTTTTACTATTCATCGTTTGGCGGTATTGTATGGGACCTTGTATTATGATTGACGTCCCTGTTTTATTTTTTTTGAAGTACGTACTGGAACTCGTACTGTGTTTTATTACTGAATCCAGCAATTCATTGTGATGCTCCAAGTTTCAAGTTGATGTGAGAATTTTTTACTAGTAATTTTTTTGATTTGATGATCAAGCTGACATCAGAATCCAAGCTCATTAGAGCTACTAAGTACAATTCCCATAATGGCAAGCTATTGGCAATTTCCCGACTATCAATTTTTTTTATTTTCCCGTCTTTTTTTTTCCCTCTCCCCCTCCTCCACGAAAAAAAGCACAAGTCCGAAAATATTTCTATACTAGATATTTACTACTGAGAATATCAAATCAGTGCTTATCTCAAGTATTAAGGACCACCAATAGAAATATTTTGGGACCAGCGAGAAATTAAACAATRGAAATATTTTTATTTTCGTCCTTTGGATGCCATTTTTAACTGGATTTAACTGTAAAAATGAGCTAAAAATTTCTATTAGTATTTGTACGGGGATTGCCAATAGCTTGCCATTATGGGAATTGTACTTTGTAGCTCTAAAGCTCATAATCCAACCTGCGTACGTACGGATCTTTAACTGTGAGCCCCTAACACACGTAGATCAAGTAAATAACGAGTGAGTAGTGAATAGTAACTCAACCTCATCAAAATTTGGTAGCGCAAGAACACCACCACCAATGCTAAAGGGGTCTCTGCTGCCGATCAAATAGTATGCTAGAAGTACTACCAATGGCAGGGAAAATTATGCTGGTGAATGCAGCTACAACAAGAGAGTTCTTGCCATCTACTGCTAGTACTACTACTACTACTAGTAGTAGTAGTACTACTACTACTAGTAGTAGTACTAGTAATGAGGAGGACATGATTACCACCAGCAGTACGGTACATCACCATCACCATCATGCTGCTGCTGGTACTACTAGCTACTACTACTACTAGTATTACGTCACAAAAACTATTCGCGACCCGTAGCGAACCCCCCATCGCAACCCCGT